GTTGCCAGGGCATTTATTATTCCTGATTGAGAGGTGAAGAAAAGGCTTTTTTAAAACTTGCAGAGAACTGAGATGCAGGTTAAGGGGATATAGTCTAATTTGACTGAATAACTTAAGATGTAAAAGAATGTCTTCTAAAGTAAAATGTCATATACTACAAATTAATGACACAAACTAACAAAAAGCAATCTCATTTATACCACAATTTATTATATAAAAATGTTAACTGAGAAGCGAGAGTTTATGCTAATTCCAAAAACTGTAGTTCTAAAATTTTATTTTAGAGAGAATGTCAACAAAATTCAGCCTATGAAGATTAAGAGCTGCCTTTATTAAAGTTTAAAAAAAACCTATCTTATTAAACTATAACTCCATTTTTGCCAAATACAGTACAATTTAATAAAATAAACTGTCTTCTTAAACATTTTAATTTTAAAATTTTTGTCAAAATGTTTAAATACAAATTTAAGTGACTGTGGCAGGGTAATTTCCCAAGGCAACACTTTTGTTTCCCTTTGACCAGTATAAAATAATTTTCAAAAAAATGAAGGTTATTTTTCCCTTCCTGCCCACCTACCCACGAATGAGTCCCAGAAATAGCTTCTGGACGAGGAGTTGCTCTGGAGCCCAGCGTATGGCAGGAAGAGGGACAGGGCAGGCCTGGTGGCATGTTCTCCCTAGGCAGGCTGAACCCCGGCCCGAGAGGTTCCCAGCCTCACCACAGACCTCGCCCATCTCACACACACACACACACCCCAGGCCTGCTTCACACAGAACTGCCCGTCTTCATCAGGGCTGGTGGCTTGGACAAGCAGCATGTGAACAAGCAGCACAGCAGTGACCGATTCTGCTCTGAGTCAGAAGCCCACCACGACCTTCGGAGTTAACAACAGCTCACACAGGCTTTGCACCAACCTGGTTCAACTGAAGCTCAAAGCAGAGTATATCTGAATTAGAGGAACAAGAATATGTAACATTTAAAAAAGGAAATAATCTCTGCCCTATGACATCCTTCACATGTGCATGACAGCAACTGTAACACTGGATCCCCGGCATTTGCTAACTGGTCCTTCCCTACCCAGGACAATCACACTGTCAAGGGGAGGGTCATCTCCAGGTCCCCAGATCACGTTGCAGTTTGTGGAGCACAGGCTTGAAGAGTCAGGCTAAAAGCATTCTAAATCGAAGTTAAACATGTTCTCTGTGGTCTTAGTTTTTAATACAGCATTGTTTAATTCTCTTTTTAGAATAAAAATGATGGATATACACCGTTGTTTCAAACATATAATAAATAGTCAGGAATGCTTAAAGATATCACTACAAGGATATTAACTTTAGTTTTATGTATGGTTTTAAAATTTTCAACCATCTTACATATCTAAGAATTGAAGATTGGCTGAATAAATTATGTCACATCTATAGCAGAAAATCATACAGACATTAAAATGGTGCTGTGTAAGAACATTTAAGGACGTAGAAAGAACATATCCGTGATATATTATTAAATAAGAAAACTAGGCTGAAAAACATTATCATACCACTTTCATAGAAAAGATATACAAATGACTAAAAGGCTATATAATACAGTGCTAATACTAGGAGAATAGAATTGAACAGAAAAGGTTTTTTTCTTTCTTTTTGGTAGGAAAGGTTCTAAGGTTTTTTTTTTT